AGCAGTACATGGCTACGGCTGTGGCTGTAACGATTCGTACACATACTCGACTCCGTACGCAATCTTGTACACGTCTGCCCGTTCACGGCCAGACCTGTGTCAAAAATCTTCTCTGGACAGTGCCACTCTGTTATGCAATCGTATGGCATTTCATACAGGCGCCAGGGGACGGACTGCAAGCGACTATAAGACCCCAAGGGAAACCCCCGGTGTTTATCAACACCTTCATAAGTGGACTAGTCGCTAAATCTACCTAAGTGACCAGGTAGGCTCTCACACTCCGGAGTTTAGGATCCTAAGCTCACCATGGGATATAAAGCTCATATGCAGGGATATATACGGTATATTAGCTTGATGTCCCCTGATTAGTTTAGGGAGTACCCTTACCTACTGTAACACAGCAAAGGCGCAACCCGGGATGCTCAGATTGGCTTTTGCATCGTTCCACCTACTCTCACCCCCCTTGCAGCTCTATAGTTCAGTATGGATGGGTATGGTTAATGGTATGTTTAATAATGACATACCTTGGCGGTGCTAGGAGAGCTGACGCTTGCCACGAACCCGTTCGTACCTGCATGCAGGAAAGATGTACCAACAGACCTGTAGGCGTTCTTGTACGCATACATCCATACCAATACATACACACATACACACATACACACACGCACACACGCGGTCGCGCGGGTTGTCCCGCCGCCTCATGCGTCAGTAAAACGTTTGATCGCCTATAGGCCACCCGAGGGCCCTCGTGTAACACCAGGCAAAGAGTACTCAGGGAGATGCCACGGGAGCTGAACCTTCTTACATTCCTCCCCCCCTCGAGCGAATGTCCTCAGGCGCCCCCGGGCATATCCCGTAGGATTTTTTGGTTATTTGAGATCCCGTAGGATTGTGAGTTTGTTTGATATTGTGACATTTCGTCCGTCCCCGTCCGAGATGGAGGTCTTTTCTTTGCTACCGCTCATTATTGCGCTCGCCAATGATCGGCCAAAAATTTATAATAGTAGTAGTTGCTGTTAGTTCTTTCTGAAAAGCTGTAACTCTTAGGTAAAAAATGATTCTTCCTTTATTTCTAACTCTAAAAAGGTAACCTCTTAGGTAAAAAATGATACTGCCGTACAGTCTCTATAGGGAAGAAGGCCAATGATGCCGTACAGTCTCTATAGGGAAGAAGGCCAATGATGCCGTACAGTCTCTATAGGGAAGAAGGCCAATGAACAAGGCCCTCAAGTCGTACGGCCTAAAGGGAAATCTATGCGTCGCTGGCTCTACCTGCTAAGCGGAATCTGCAACAATTTCTTTTAAGTATATGACAGCAAGTTTAAGCATATTGATCTTTCGCCTTGTAGCGTGCTTGATGCTGTGTGGTAAAGCACTGTGTTCCGCGTCTGCGTCCATTTTGCCTGCCAAAAGTGGTGAACCAACTTAATCAAATGCAAATTTACAATGCCATAAAAACGAAAATGTAGGTAGTGCTGTTACGCACTTTTCGGCGGCGGCAAGATTTCGCACGGCATCATCGCACGACCGATCTGCGTCGCTGTTCAGCCAGTATTTAGCCCAGTGCATAAATATCAAATGCTGTGTATTACATATGACTTCTTCTTTTCACAATTTGTAGGGTTAGTTTGGCTTCTTTTCCTTCGCCGTTATCGTTGTGATAGACTGATCCTTGAGTCAATACATTCATTAAAGCCTTGGACTGCTAGTGAATATAAAGCTAGTAAATGTTGTCATTGTCGGTACAATCGCGGACGTTCAGCATTGTGGTCCTGCTCGCCATGGCCACGACACACTATGACGACGGGTGATCGCCTTAAGTCCGCGTTAGTTCGCGTTAGTTCGCGTAACGGTGCGAATCTTAGCGTTAGGTGCGAATGAGCATGTTTTTGTAACGCAAAGAGCTAACGCACAACGGCTATGAAAAAGCGGAAATCGGCCCTACTGGCTAAAATTTTTAAATTTTATAATTTTCAGATTGTAAAGGTTCATTTGGAAATAAACTTGCGTCGTTTTGGTCGACTTGAGCAATTCATCCGTGCTTATGTTGAAACGCGAAGCATACGCGCATGTGTAGCAAGGCGATACGCATGCGATTCCATATTGCGATTCGTGCGTGTGGGGAGACAATGCGTAAAGCAATACGCGTCCAATCGCACATCAAACGCATACAGTCCGCAAGGCTATTCACATGCGAATACATGTTGCGTTTCATGCGTATGAAGTCTGATTGCGTAAAGCTTAACGCGGCCTAGCACACACCAAACGCACACATGTCGCAACGCAATTCGCATGCAAACAAATGGTGCGTTTCAAGCGTATGAAGGCTCGTTGCGTCAAGTTTACTGCGGCCTAACACACCAAACACACACGATTTACTTTGATTAATCGCATGACATAACAATTCACATGCGATGTTTTATGTGTTGGTCGCATACTCAGTTCGTTAACCTTCACGCAGTCTCATAAGAATATAACATGCTTGGCAGCACTCAGGGGGCCCTTCCGCAAACGAGATCGCATCAGGTGCAGCCTTACATCGCACAACGATTCATCATACCATCAATAGATGCCAGAAAGGCGGCGGGACATATGCCGCATGCGAACACGCACGCAATTAGACCCCCACTGGCTGTGAGGCAGTTGTGGGGACATGCCTGCGAGGCTGAAAGGGCTTCCGGACGCATAAATCGCATCAGGCACTGTCTTACACCGTGCCAATGATGTATGATGCCATCAACTATTTGCCGAAATGAGGCGGGAAACGCTGCATCCAACACGCACACAATTAAACCCCTGCCATGAGATGTGTCGGTGGCTGTGAGGCAAGTGGGGACATGCCTGGGAGGCTGAAAGGGCATAAATCGCATCAGGAGCCATCGTACGCCGCAACAACGATGCATCATACCATCAACTAGTTGCCAGATAGGCGGGGGGGAACACGGCTTGATCAGTCATGCTCGCTAGGCAACCATCATGGGGAAGGGATGTAAGGGTGTCCTCCTCTCGGATGGGTCGAACTACTCCCAGTGGCTCGGCGTCTTAGGCGATTTCCTTGCAACACCCAAGTTGAAGACTACATCAACACCCGTCGCCTCCGGGCCGCAACACCCAAGACGCCCTGGAGGAGGACGCACAGGCGCTCGGCTACCTGCATCTGTCCTGTGAACTGCCCATCAAGCAGTTGCTCAGGAATCGCCAGACCACTCTCGCCGCCATGCAGCTCTTACAGCAACAGTTGCGTTCTGCATCCCAGGCCCGGCTGAGCCTGTTGGAGCCGCAGAAGCAGCTGAGCATGTACGATGGGAAGACGACCACTGACTTCGTTCAGCAGGCAGAGCAGCTCCGTAGCAATATAATCGTGGCCGGCGGCCAGTGGGACGAGAGCACCACACCATTCTGGCCATGGCCTGCCTCCGCAGTGCACCATCACCATCGAGTTCACGATGTATCAGCCCAACTTAACGACCCCACAGCTCGTGCTCATGCTGCATGAGAAGGAGAACAACCTTAAGACCCAAGCAAGCAAGCAAGACAAGCCTGGTGGGAGCTGTCGGCCCTGGCCGTGCTGCCAGTGGAATCGGCAGCGCCGCCGGTGCTGCAGGCACCGTACGGGCCGGCGACACCTGTCACTACTGCGGACAGCCTGGTCACTACGTTCACGAGTGTCCTGTTAAGCAGGCAGACGAGTCCGTCGGCCTTCACCGCAGCAACACATTCGAGCAGCTGCACGCCGCCAGCAACATCAGTTGAGGCAGCTGCAACCGCCACCGTGACGGTGGCGGCAGGGGCACTGGCAGCGGCAATGGCGGTAACAGCAGGGCTGACGGAGCACGTGAATGTGGCCGTGCTCGATGTGGCAACAGCCAACACAACGGTGGCGACACTGCATGCGGCAGCAGTGGCAGCAGCTCGGGCAGCAGCCGAAGCAGCTCACACCAGAGCCGTGCCCCAGTGCTGGTCATCGACCACAGTGGAAGCAGCTCACGAGTCACCCTCGACTCAGGCTCACCATACCACCTCACGGGTGACCACTCCCTGCTGCACAACCATGTCCCCGCCGGCATGCCACGGCTAATCGGGTGGGGCAACATGTCGTGGGAACAGGGCAGCTGCACCTGCATACTCGTGATGGACACAATGTCTGGCTGTACAACATGCTGCACGTCCCCAGCTCGGGCCTCACCCTGACGTCTGTCGACCTCGTGAGAGGTCGACAGACCTCATCACACGCGGCTACTCGGTCACGTTCAGCATGGACAAGACGGGCTGCTGGTTCTCATGCATCAGCCTCCTGCACAACAGCCCGTCTATAACCGCATGGAGTGAGCGTGGGCACTATGCATGGACGTGGACCTGCAGGCGCCGACCGACGTCACCGTCAATGCCTTCAGCACCACGGGCGACAGAGCTGGCGGGGGCCAGGCCGCAGGTAGCAGCGCTGGCGGAAGT